TATATATATATATATATATAATCTTAGTTTTGTTTATATGGTTGAGAGATAACATCATAAATCTTGATTTCATGTCTTACATTTGTTTGTTTGTTTGTCGATGTTTGTTGAATCACAAGATTATGAAAAACCCCATGTTTGGATCATGTGAGACTAGCTTGTTTTCGTAAGACCATTTTTTTACGCTTGACAGTAGAATACTATGAAGATTACATTCACAGTGTTTTAATTTGCTTTGAAGTTTTGAAAAATCTTTAACTTAAAACACTGTGAAGGTTCGAAAATCTTTAACTTTACATTATTTTACTGTAAAATTTCAAGTGTAAAATTGTGGTCTTATGAAAAACAAGTTGGTGATAAATATAATGATAATGTGTTTCAATTTTTCAATTTGATAATGTTTTATTGTTAGAGATCAATTTTATTAATTATATTATTTTAATAAAAAGAGTTAATATTTATTTGTTAAATTAAAAAATGTGACTAAATCAGAAGTCCACTGATGGATAATTGATAGTCTAACAAATCGGATGGACAAGGTCGATCAAATGTCACCAATCAATTACATTTACATACCAAACTATATTTTAAATTATTTTATTTTAAAGAATTTATATACAAGAAAATATATATATATATATATATATATTTGTTACTTGGTTTCACGGGTCTCATAAAAACATGTTGGTGTCACATAAACTCAACCCTACAGATGAATATATATATATATATATATATATATATATATGTGTGTGTGTGTGTGTGTGTGTGCGTGTGTGTGTGTGTTTGTGTGTGTGTAGAGAATGTTTACTTTGCAAACCATGTTATTTGTACAAACCGTACAAACTTTATTCAACCGATCATAATTTTTCATTATGTTCATCTTTTTGTAATTGTGAGAGGTTGATTGATCATTTTTATTGTGGAGGTTGTTAATCATTGATATTATCATTTTCATTATATCAAGTTTATGGAAATAAATGAAACAGTTTCATTAAAATTTCATATGTATTATATGAAACAATTTCATAACCATATATGAAACAACATAAAAAAATATTATATGAAACAATTTCACAAGGTTAAACAATTTCATGAAAAAATTTCATAAGATCAGACAATGAAATCGACGGATGATAGTGGTTTGCACGATTTGTACAAATATGAGTGATTTAGATTTCATCACTTCTCTGTCTCTATATATATAGATATATCAACCATTCTTACATATATTCTCCGACAAAAGTCTCGTATTTTTTTAATATATACATGTTTTATGTGTAAATATGAGTTAACGATAAACATGTAAATCGATAATGAATTAAAACGGTCCAAAAATGCCATCAAAATTTGTCAAAAACGATAAATATACTTTTGATTTTACTTATTTTTTAAGGTTAAAAATTAAAAATATAAACTTTAATACTTAGATAAAAAAAAACCCATATTTTTTCTTAACAGTTTGGTGGATAAAAGATAAAAAGGACTTGAACAATGAATAAAACACAATCAAATTCGATTTTTTGTGAAATCTTGAAATTTATCGTCAAGAAGATGAGCTCCGTGTTATTAAAGGGCATTTGGCCTACCGGTATGTGAGTCTTTGACCTTCTAGGAGATCAAATGTAAGAAAGGTATGTAAGTTTATTTGTTCTATTTACCGTATATAAATATTATATACTTAAAAAAAAGATGGGCTTCGTGTTACAATCCATGGAGTCTTTGGTGGAATTTCGTTCGTTGATTTTGACCAACTGGGGTCCGAGACCATTTATTTCAACCACCATCATTATTATGGTGGTAGTTTGGCTTAAACATGATAAAAGACGCGAAATAATAATTGAAATCTAAGTGAATCACTAAAATGCAGATAAACATATAATTTTAAATTTTATGTCAACGTTCAAAAGAAATTCGTCAAAATCAAGTTTGATTTAGGTTTTAATGTGGGGTCAAAGTTTGTGCGTGTATCTTAAGTTAGACGTTATAACCTCTTAATAGTTACATTAAGTGACAACATCTGAATTGTTAAGAGGTGAATCTTGTTTGACAAAAAAAATCTGTGTTAATGGTTCTAAAACCCTTTGAATGCTTTTGTATCATGGACTTCCCTTAACCATTCATCACCCTAATTTCGTTGTAAACAATTATATTTCATTTTGCACTATATCATGAGAATCTCTTAATCATTCTGCACCAAACCATTCAACAACTACCAAACAGCCTTTTAGTTTTAAGCTTTAAAAATAAAGAGAGACATAACGGTTATTGAATTATTTCCAACAATATTCTGACTAAATTAATGAATTTTAATCCTCTTCCATAAATATTTAAATCATAACAAACAAATCCTCATTATTTCCATAAATATCTCAGTTCTTTGGTTTGTATGGTTTGTAACAATTACATGATTTGTATTTGAAACCTCCTCTACAGTTATGTGTAAGAAGTGTTACAGATTTACATTCTTAAGATATATAATACTTATAAATAAAAGCATTAACTATTCACTTTATTTTTATCACAATATAATCAAACCCCACTTCCGAGTATGATAGATTGAATCTGTTTGTTAAGATAATTTATTTTGTGTCGGATGACAGGTTGTTTGCAGAAGAAATTAAGACCGAGCATGTTGAGTAAACACTTTCAATCAGCTGTAAGTTCCTAAACCCTAGTTTTTTATACTGATTTTGTTTGCCTAACGAGTAATGATACACTTAATGGTTCATACACTTGCTCCTGTAGATAAGTACTAGTTAAGATTGTCTGTATAAACCAAACCATATATATCTGATAAATCTTACAGCCAGTAGGATTTGAGAAAGGTAAGATGTATACAACCAGTCTTTTACCACAAGACGTAAAAAAAAATTGTTCCCGAAAAGATTATTAAGTTTGTCTCCATCTCAACCTAAATTGTGTTTTAATGGTTTAATTTGTTTCTTAATACAACGTTATTTTGATTTCTACAAGGTCCCAGAAGTAATATACCAAATCTTGGAGGACCCATCCAGTAAATATGACATACCTGAAGGGTCTGAGGCTGACATTCCTCAAACTTTGGAAGATTTTGTTTCTAGTTTGAAGGGCAGTACTAGACCAGATGCAAAGACCTTTGCTGTCAAACTCAAATCAATGGTAATTTTCTAACAGGTTTTTATGCATTCTTCAGTAATATTCTCAAACCTGTCAGGAGGTTATAAATTTTATAAATAATCTTTTAGAAAGTTATTTAACTAAAGGACCCTTTCCTACACATACTAAAGGGTTACTGAGCTAAATGACAGACTGACAAATATTTTTAAATTCCATAACATTCTGACAAGTTTCTAGTCATTCTTCTGTTATACAATGATTCTCAAACCAATCAGAATGTCATGAATTTTAGAAAAACCTGACAAAACACTACAACAAGAGCGGCTTTATAGGACGCTAAAAGTGATTAGTGGTCTTAATAGACTATTTTATAGGACTTAAGTTTATAGAACCAAATATTAATATATCTCATCTAAAAGTGTTGTAATAAGTTTATAGGACGTTTCCATGCGTCTTAACAAACTTTTTAGGACACTTTGGAAACAAAGTGTCCTAATAGCCTTTTTATAGGACACTTCTGAGAAGTATCATACAAACACATCTTTTTATAGGACACTTATTTTATAAGACTTTTTTCAAATAATGTCCTATAAAAAGAACTAATGACCATTTGTTTCAATAGTATCCAGAAAAGCTTATTAAGACGCCCAAAAATGTCCTACAAACTTATTATAACACTATTAGATAAGATACACAAGTAGTCTATTAGGACACTCAGACATTTCTTGTGTCCTATAAATCCGATTTTGTCAGAGTGGAAGGTCATTTAACCGAAGGAGCCACACAGATACACACTAAGGGGCTATTTGGTTGGTTTCTATTAAGTCCTGTATGGATGAAGACATATGTGTGGATTAATCTATCCATATAGATTGGAATGATTTTTGTTTGGGAGTGTTTTTCATAGATAGGAGTGTGTTAATTAGGAAGGGAAGGTTTGGAAAAAACTTGGCTTTCTGCTAAAGCTCCCCCTAGAAACTTACTTAATAAGTCACTTTCTATATCATTAAGCTACTACCAAGCAGTCATCTATAGCTGACCGAATAAGCTATGAGTCTCATTAAGCTCATTAAGCTGCTAACAAACAATGACTGACCATTTGCTTCATTTCTGTTTACCAGGTGACCCTTCTTGAACAGAGAACTCGAAAAGCGAAAATCCAGGAATACCTGTACCGACACGTTGCATCTAGCAGCATACCAAAACAGCTTCACTGTCTTGCTCTCCGGCTAGCCAATGAGCATGCCACCAACGCCAACGCCCGCCTCCAGCTCCCGTCACCAGAGCTCGTGCCCACCCTCGTTGATAACTCGTATTTCCACTTTGTTCTTGCATCAGACAACATTCTTGCAACCTCGGTTGTAGCCACGTCTCTTGTTTACAACTCGTTGCATCCTGATAACGTTGTTATTCACATAATCACGGATAGAAAAACTTACTCTCCGATGCAGGCGTGGTTCTCATTGCATCCTCTAACGCCTGCGGTCATTGAGGTTAAGGCGTTGCACCATTTTGATTGGTTCGCTAAGGGAAAGGTCCCGGTTTTGGAGGCAATGGAGAAAGATCAGAGGGCCCGGGCTCAGTTTAGAGGAGGGTCATCGGCTATTGTGGCTAATAACACCGAGAAACCTTACGTGATTGCTGCAAAGTTGCAAGCTATGAGTCCCAAGTACAACTCACTCATGAACCACGTTCGAATTTATCTACCAGAGGTAATGTTTTAGGACCATTCTGCAAATTCCCTCTTTCACAGGCTATGGCATATAATGTTTATAAAAACGGAAGTGTAATCACTCACTTGACTAGATGCAGGTTCAAATGAGAGCCGTAAATATTTGAGAATCCAAGAACCGACTATTTCATTTATTATTCATGATGAATAACCCTCGATAATCATGAATATCGTTCAACATGAATATCATGTTTTCATCATAATGATATATCACGAATAAGTTCTCAAAATATTTACGATTCTTATTTGAACCTACCCCCTACTTGACCACGACATATATATACCTATATATAGGGTCAGCTTTAGTGGAAAACTGCGAAAAATGAAAAACTTAGGAACACTCTGGTGGTACTGTTCACCTGGAACGTGTGCACATGTGCGTACAAGTAATTTGTAAGCAATTTGTTTGGTATCCTGTACACACATGCACACATGCATAAAAACCAAGAAACAACTTCAATTACTTGTAAGCGCATGTGTATACTGTATACCATTCAGATGAATGGTTACCCGGGTGTTCCTTAGTTTTCATTTTTTTGGGGGTTTTCCTTTGAACCTCCCTCTCTCTCTCTCTCTATCTCTCTCTCTCTCTCTCTCTCTCTCTCTCTCTCTGTGTGTATATATATATATATATATATCAAGGTTCAAAAAGGCTTGAGGCATGGCGTGGTGGCGAGGTCAAGCCTCAAGCCTTACACGCCACAGCGAGGACGCAGCGTTTTTCAAGGCGTGACATAAAGCGGCAAATTTATATGTCATATATAGAATTATATATATATATATATATATATATATATATGTTTTCTATATATTATCTAATCAAATAATGATATTAAAAATATATACATTTATATTAGAAGCAGAAAAATCATATAGATTATTATTATAAAAATGGGTTTTTGATTAAATATTTAAAATAGAACTTAGAAAGGTAATTTTACAACTTCAAATTAACCGTGAGTCTGTAAGCTTTATGAATTTGTGAAACTCTAAGTGATGTGATTAATTAAATCTATAAAAATGTAAAATCTAAAGTTAAAAGTGTAAAAACACAAAAGATAAAAAATAAAAATAAAAAGAGTTTTACACTGATATAATATATATATGATTGGCCATAGACTCACTGGATGCTCATTTCTGCAGATGTTTCCAAGTCTTAGCAAGGTAGTCTTCCTAGACGATGACCTTGTGGTTCAAACGGATCTTTCACCTCTATGGGACATCGATATGAACGGAAAAGTAAATGGAGCAGTTGAAACATGTAGGGGAGGGGATAAATTTGTAATGTCAAAGAGGTTTAAGAGCTACTTGAATTTTTCTCATCCAATGATATCAGAAAACTTCGATGCAAACGAATGTGCTTGGGCCTATGGCATGAACATTTTCGACCTTGAAGCTTGGAGAAGTACCAACATAAGCCACAATTACCATTACTGGCTTGAAGAGGTAAGTGATTGAAATAAAAATACACAAAAAAAAGAGAGTAAAAACTACATTTTTGGTCCCTAAAACGCAAAAACTAGAAGAATGGTCGCTACAGTTGGCATTTTGGTTCGAAAGTGGTCACCTGCTTTTTTTCGTGCAGAACTCTAATAAGTAATAACTTGCTTTTTTCGTGCAGAACTTGAAATCAGATCTAAGTTTGTGGCAGCTAGGAACATTACCTCCAGGATTGATAGCTTTCCATGGGTATGTCCATATTATCGATCCTTTCTGGCATATGTTAGGACTTGGGTACCAAGAGAATACAAGCATTGCAGACGTGAAAAATGCTGCTGTGATCCATTTCAATGGCCGAGCAAAACCATGGCTAGATATAGCGTTTCCGCAGCTTCGGGCATTATGGACCAAATATGTCAACTTCTCAGATAAATTCATCAAGTCCTGCCACATTAGAGCATCTTAGAATGAGCACACCAAAGATTATGTGGCAATACTTCATGTATACGAGAAACAGAGAAAAGCAAGAAGGGTCTTTTTTTCATTAATTCCCATTTTGTGATTTGAGGCACAAGATGAAATTCGCTCGGGCTATGCTCGATTTTCTTGCTTAAAGTTTCTTGTTTTTTGGTATCAAGTATCTACTATGTTCAACAAGACGTTTTGCTGACTCATGAAAGCAGATGAAAGAAAATGTATGTAAAGCAACGTTTTGTCTTCCACCTTACTCAGTATTCACTACAACAAAATGGGTAATTTTAGAGGATGCACATTCGTCCTAATAGAGTATTTAATGGGACTCTTAAATTTATAGGAACAAAAAACAGTGTCCTATCTAAGTTAGGCGACGAAACAAGTTCTATCTACAAAGTTGGACAACCTAATTGGACATAATTCTTGGTCCTATAAACTTAAAAGTCTTATTAACTGGTTGGGAGTCCTAAAAGACCAATTTTTGTTGTAGTGGTGCGTTTTTTCCTTTTATCAAGAGCAACCAAATAAGTCATATATCTATATAGTTATTATAGGATTTCATCATAAAATCTATGAAGCATAGTATGTCAGTATGATGATACCAAATTCTCTCGGGATAAGAAGATAACAATTTAAAGGGCATATTGTATCGGATCACTGCTAAAAAGAGAGAAACTGAAGAGTGGTCTTTATAAAGAATTTTACATTTTCAGGCATGCCACTAATTTATGGTCAATGAGAATAAAACTTAATATTTGGAAAAAGAGCACCTCATTAACCATTTTACATTTACCAGAATGTGTCAATTACAGTTTCTTCATAAGTTGAATGTACATGAAACTAATTTGCACTGTAACCAACCAGAAGTTCTACGCAGTTGCTTTGGACTCTTCCCTTTCTTCAGCTTGCTAATGATTCTTGGAAGTAGTCAAATAGGTCTTTATAGATGGAAAAATTAAAGCTTTTATCATTATCTCACCATATAATGACAGATCTTTAAACCATACATGCATCATGCACTTCTAAACTTCTAAAAGTGACAAGAAACCCACAGATAGATAAGATGGGAATGTGGCATTGAGGTTTATAATTTGAGGCAATTTGCTAGAAGAGACCAATTCAAAACAAAGTGATAGAACTAAGGGGCTGTTTGGTTGGTTTTCCATCAAGTCTTGTATGGATAAAGTTGTCTGTGTGGATTAATTTGTCGGTATGATAGAAAAAGTTTTTGTTTGGGATGGTTTTTTTCATAGATGGAATGAGCTTTTATTCTAATTGGGAGTGACATGTTTCCGAAAAACTTGGCTTTCTGCATAAAGCTCCCCCCTAGAAACTTAATGAACAAGTCGCTTTCTATATCATAAAAAGCCACTTTCAAATAGTCATGTATAGCTGAACGAATAAGCTGTAAGTCTCATTAAGCTCATTAAGCTGGCTAATAAACAGGCCCTGAGAGTATACTGGCCCACTGTTCCACTTGTATACTCTTATTATAGCTATCAAAGTGACTCCAAATCCCTAACTCTTAGAAGAACAGAGTCTTATTCGGTTCAACCTGTTGCTTCTCATTGCAAGGGATAAACTTAATAAAGAACAAGAGATTGAAACAAGACTTTCTTGTTTAGCTGAACTTACTTTTTCCCAGTTACATTTGAAATCAATCCTTTCAAGAACTTTGCAGACTTGGTGATGGGAGATTTAATGGCCATCAGATTATATAGCACATTCTCAACTTCAGTGATGGAAGGTCTTGTCTTGAATCTTGATACTACTTTCAGTTCTCCTTCTTCTTCAACCAACACACTCCACCTCTCTCCACTCAAAACCCCATCTCTAACACACTTGAAGACCACACCATTTTTCTTACTCAACAGCCCTCTAACCTCCAATCCCATAAACGAATAAATCACTTCAAATGATCCCAAAAAGCCACTAAAATCACCAAGACTGCTCTCCTCCTCCTCATAACTCCACCTGGGATTGAATATTACCACCGGCTTTGGATACAAAGTGTTGGTGATTGTCTCCATTACTTCCATTTGTGAAGCTTCTGGTGTCAAAAACACCACCACATCAGCAGAGTTCAAAACAGTGTTCCCCCCAATCCCCATATTCGTTAGTGAAGAAATGTCGACATGTTCAACAGACCCAAATGATGCTTTTTTGGCAGCTTCTGTTAGTGTAGAATTGGGCCATAGTATTGATAACCTAACATTAGAGCCTTTTCTCTTAAGGGGCATTTCATCAAACACTTGAAGCGCAAGTTGTGTTAAGGAATCCGGTGAGTCATCAATGACCGGGATTTCAACACGGAATCTAGGCTGCTTTAGTTTCTTGAGTTTGCCAGCAAGTTTTGGGTTGTTGAGAGGCTTCTCTAAGGTGGATGAAAGGCAGGTCTTGGCTTGGCGTATAGCTTCTTCTTTGGACTTGGGTGGAGAAGAGATATTGCAATGAACGGATAATGAAGGAGGAATCTTTTTGGGTTTGTGGAGCTGGTAATTTGACGAATCAATGGAAAAAGCTGGAATGAAATGAGAACGAATTGAATGATTTATTAACGGATTCAATTGAAAATTTGGGAGATTAGATGTCATCTTTGTGGTTTCGAAAACAGAAAGGAAAAGAAAACAGCTTACTGATTTGAGTAAAGATAGAGTCGGATAAAAGCTAACAGCCACACAAAACATTATAAATTTGATGTCGTGGGTCCGAGCCGGTGATGGCCAAAAACCGGTTCCGGGTCTCCCGACCTCAGTAGTGCCGGTCATAACCGGTTACAGTGTAACCCATCCCGGTCCCGATCGAAGGAACTAAGTCCGGTTAAGCATTCCTATAACCGGTTATGGTTAATCGGTCTCGACCCCGACCAAAAAAAAATTAAATTTTTTTAATGGTAGGTTTTTTTTAATACATTATAAAATTTGTAATTGAGTCACTCGAATACATTTTAAAAATACGAGTCCAAGTCACAAAATATAACGAGAAACCGAGAATTGTGATCGTTTTTTTTGCGATTTTTACGTTTTGTAAGTTGGTATGTAGATCTTTCAACCAAACACTTATATATGAGGTTTAGAAGGCAAAAAAGACTAAAAAAAAACAGTCATAAACGGTCAAATAATGGCTATATTTTTCAAAAAAAAAAAACGGCCACCTTTTTAAAAATTGGGTTGGGCGGGTTGGTCCCTCGAAACCCTCCAAAACCATAACCGGTCGGCGGTCCTATAACCGGTCCTTGCCGGTCATTTGCCAGTCCCGGTTCCGGTCCTCCGGCGGTCCAGGGCCTGGCCAGGCTGGTTTGACCATCACTAGTCTGAGCTTTGAGGACAGGGTCCTAAGGTTCTTGGAGGGGGTGTCGCATTAAAACGTGCATAACTATTCACCCTTTTCAGAACAGTTATTTGCCCAACGTAGGAAGTGGATGGTCGGTTCATGAATCGGATCCAAATTCTTGAATTCGAATTTGAGCCTAAACTCGACATTCTAGGAATCGAACGAGTTTTAGAACAAGTTCGAGTTACACGCATATGAAGAAAAAACCGCAACATTTATGTAACGTCTAATATATAATGTTGTAATTAAAACTGCAAAAATACATGTCCAAATATATTAACCAAGTGGCTCAATCAACATTCTTCTATGCACAACATTTGGCTACTGTTCTTCAATCCTTCTTTCTGGTATACACAATGAAGACAAGTTGTTAGGGTTTTTGAAATTTCTATGTCGATAATTACGATTGTTTTTCTCGAACACGGTTTGTGGTAGACGAGGAATTAGCCGTAGCTGAATCGAGCATCCAATTGCCTTGCAGACGTTTGTCGTCTAGGTGTCCCAATCTCGCAGGCATTGACTCTAGCCGCAAATCGAAGAGAACAAAGCGACTCGTTGATCGAGCTCGGTGCCGGAGAAACATTTACGACCATTAACGTCTTGGAATCCCCACCTAAGCAAGGCTGATCAAATTCAACCATGGAAATTCAATCAGAAACATTGAAACATATAGTAGATATATGTTAAACCCCATTAGATTACTCTCTAAAAGAACTCTTACATACCAGAATGTGTGAAACCCCATTAGATTACCCTCTAATAGAGACCTCCCGGGGAGGCAACATATATTTAGAAGAAATGGTCTAAATCTAGCTGATGTGGGACTTTAACAGAGGTTGGACGAGCACAGAGTCGCCTCGAGTCCAAAAGTGTTAGACAGTGGCTCTGATACCATGTGAGAACATTTGGAACCCATTTACATTACCATCCAAAATAGCCTTTTAAGGAGATAACAGAGGTTTTGACGTATATTCAACAGAAATTGTCCAAGTATAGCTTATGTGGGACTCTAACTGCCACCACTAATGGAGACTATACAAGCACAAAGTGGCCCTGAGTATTGAGTCCTTAGAGTGGTAGACCTTAGCTCTGATACCATGTGAGAATATGTGAAACCCAATTAGATTATCCTCCAAAAGTCTTTAAGAAGATAATGGAGGTCCCAGTATATATTTAGAATAAATGGTTCAAGTCTAATTGATGTGAGACTCTAACAGACATATCGGAATCAAAACAATGAGGTGTATACCTGAAGAAGATATGTAAGTTTTGAGTTCCTAAAAGGTACATGCTCTTCCTTTTTCGCCAGTGCAAATATAACATCGCTTAACGATGATAGACTCTTGTTGATGGCTTGAGTTTCCTTTAAACGATCCCCGGTTGATCCACTCTTCGAAAGACGTTCACTACCGGCAAGATCGATAAGGTTAAGAACACCTTGCACTTGTTGGTCCATGCTCTACAAAGTTGCCAAGACTTCATCATTAGCCTAACCACGAAGTAGACGATGATATAAATCAAAGAACCCGAAATCGTCATTACCTCATTAACACCAATTATCCTAAGGGTGAACACGAAATGGCTTCTCGAGGATTGTTCGTTCATTTGAGTCTTACCCACGGACCTAAATAATGAAAGACATTAAACACAAATTGTTGAACTTTAATGACCGTTGATCCTAACATAGTACAACAAAATCGGTTTTACAGGACATCAAATATGTCTAGGTGCTTAATAAACTGCTTTATAGGATTTAAGTTTATAGTATTAAATAATTTTGTGTCTAATGTAATGTGTTACAATAAGTTGATAAGACGTTTTTGGGCATCCCAACAAGTTTTTAAGACAGTTTTCTGATAAAACATCTTATTGGTCTTTTTATATGACATTTCTTAGAAATGTTTTATGCAAAGATGTGTTCATATGATACTATAACACTTTTATATGGTACATACACTTGGTTGGTCTTATAAGGTTAAATCCTATAAAGCGGACTATTATGGTATTTAGGGGCTATTTGCTTGGTTTTCCATTAAGTCGTGTATGATAAACTTGTCTGTATGGATTAATCTGTCTATCTAAATTGGAAAGATTTTTGTTTGGAAGGGTTTTATCATTGATGGAAAGAGCATGTTTTTTAACTGAGAGAGACAAGTTCGGAAAAAAACTTAGACTTTCTATATAAAGCTAAGCTCCCCTTAAAAGCTTACTTTTAAGTCAGAAAACAGTTATGTATAGCTGACCGAATAAGCTGTGAGTTTATAGACCTTGGACATATATAAAGCCGATTTTATTTAAAGACATAATAGTCACATGGTCGTTAAGGTTAAGGGTACGTCGATACCTGCTTTGTGCAGCACGACTTAACAAATAAGAAACTTCTCTACTGCTGCGCACATCGACTATGGTGAGATCGGAGACATGTGTGTTGCCATTTGCATCATGTTTAATAGTATGTTGCTTCGAACCACACTCGGGTGGACCGGACCGGTTTGTAGACAACAGATCACGTATCGTCTCGTTGTATATTTCCAGCATCGAAACCTGAATACGTTCTCTCTAAAACACTTTTTCGGATTCTAAACACGAAAAGCAAGAAAACTGATTGCAAACGCAAACCTGCATTTCGTACTTCCATCCTTGGTTTTGAAGCATTTGCTTCGACTCGAATATTTGTTCTAAAGAACGAGGTATCAATCCTTTTTCGTCGTAGTTCCCTGGCGTACCCATCATCGTGTGTGTTTTTCCCGACCCTGTTTGACCGTAGGCAAAGATACAAACCTGAAAACGTAATTAAGTCTAATTAATGCTCATATATTAAGCAGGTTATATGAAACTCCATCAGATTACTCTTTAAAAGAGCTCTTAAGAAGAGAATCAAGGTTCCAACATTATATATAGGGTCAGGTTCAGAGAAAACTGCAAAAATTGAAAAATAGGAACATCTTGGTATATGTTCATCTGAACGATATGCACATATGCATACAAGTAATCTGTAAGCAATTTGTCCGGCATAAAAACCAAAAAGCAGCTTCAGTTACTTGTATACAAGTGTGCATAAAAAACAGGGTGTTTCTCAGTTTTTCAATTTTTTGGGGTTCTCCCCTGAACTTCCCTCTCTCTGTATATATATTGAAGATAAATGGTTCAAATCTAACTGATGTGGGACTCCAACAGTTTCAAGTGCATTACCTTATAACCATCTAGTGCACTTTGTACAAGTTGCGAGACTTCCACAAACACCTCTTCTTGTGACGATTCCGGAACAAATACTTTATCGAACGTAAAAGAATGCTTTTGCCCTTTTTTGCAACAAAAAAAAAACGACGATGATAGAAGAGTTAAGCACAATGTAAAGAAAGTAAACGTTTTAATAAAATCGGGTTTAAAAAACGCCAACAATTTTTAGACGTCCAAAATAAACCATTTTATAAGACTTAGATTTATAAAACAAAACAATAAAATGTTTTATCAAAAGGTGTTGTAATAAGTTTAAGTATGACCCTTTTGGACGTCTTAACAAGTTTTTCAAGACATTTTTAATACAAAACGTCGTATTAGCTATTTTGTAGAACATTTTTAGGATTATCCTATGATATGACATTTTTGTAAATAGTGTTCTATAAAGTAGCTAATATGACTTTTTCTATAAAAATATCCTAAAAACTTGTTATGACGCGAAAAAACGTCCAACAAACTTATTACAACATCTTTAAATGAGACACTTTATTGTTTAGTTCTATAAATTAAGTCTTTTAAAACAGTCTATTAGGATGTTTAGATATTTTGGTGTCTTATAAACCTAATTTTGTTGTAGTGAAATATGAAATCGCATAGAATTGTATGAGTCTAAGATACCATGTTGCAATAATTCAATGCCTCGGCCAAGAGTTTCGGTTGTCGTAGGAAAATAAACACTTTTTGTTTCTGTATCAGCGACATCATCGGACAATAGAGGTCGTACCCTACAAAATACTCGTATATTTCCTTTCAATTCCTGTAGCAAAATATAAGCTCGTTATGGTGATAATTTGTTAATGCGAGAATATGTGAAACCCCATTTAGATTCCTATTAGAAAAATCCCTGAAAATGAGTACGCATGTTCCAACATTTCAAACAGAAATAGTCCAAGTCTAACTGATGTAGAACTGTACTGCTTAAAAACCCGAAACAACGGGAAATTAAAACTCACCAATATTGTGTTGTGCAACTTTTTGCGCAAGGCTTCTCCTTCGACAAGTTTTAGTTCTGTCTCGGCTAAACGAAGTTGTAAGTCAGAGTTAACTCTCTTTTGTTCTTCATATCCCGTTCTTATCTCAAATGCAGATACATCAGACATCTACCGCATAAAAGTGAATCAAGAATTAATCACACCTCAAATAAAAACCGTTCAAAATAATCCGTAAATTTTTTTAACTGTAGTCGTCTTCCTTGACAAACCCGATAACTTGTACAAGCTTATAAGTCAGTTTTCTTATGTTGTTTCATATATGTAACGATACGTGAATGCAGCTTTATACAGTGTTGTTTCATATGTGAAACGTTTATGACTGTTTTTTTTCGTACGTAGAATTGTCATAAACGTTTGACATATGAAACAACATTGTATAAACACAGTATTTTCACACATGTTGTTTCACATATGAAAACTGGTCTGTGAACTTGTACAATTTATCGGATTTGTAAATGATTGTGCATCTGTAAAATCAAATATACCTCTAGTTTATTCTCCGCAGTCGTAAGTTTTTCTTGCAATTTTCTTATTTGATCGTGTTGCGAAGAACACATGGCCTGAAACAATAATAGTAAGCATACCCCAATCGTCAGCTTCCCAAAATAAGTGTCCATTTTTAGAATTAAGTGTCTACTTTCCAATTCTACCTTTAATTGTGAGATGAAAAAATTATTACTTCATCTATTATTAAGGGTAAAATTGTCATTTAGTTGACTAAAAAGTGTAGTGACGGGTTGTTTGGTGCAGACTAGGGAATGAAAATGGTAATAAAACTGGAAATAGGAAGAAATTTTAATGTCCCAAGGCTAAATTAGGGGGTGTTTGGGATTGCTTATGTGAAACACCTCATACTTGTCTATAAAAATCTTTATCAACTTATTATAACTTAGAATGATTTAACTTCTTTAAAAATTCTTTATTACCGGTTTGGCACCGGTATAAACTGTCTATCCAAACACTCAAAAGTGTTTATTACCGGTGTCACATCGGAATAAGTCAATAAGTTGTTTTTATAAGCAATCCCAAACACCCCAAAGAATGAAAATTTGGGTTTCTGGAGATTGAACCATGTTATATAAAACCAAACAGTCTTTTTTTATTTTCAGTCTCATGAATTACTGTTTAATACCTCTAACCAAACACCTCCTAGTTAATTAAACATGTCTAAAACTGTACGTTTTTTATTTTAAACATTTGTTTGGATGGAGGAAGTATAACAAGAATAGAGAGTCGTCAAATAAGAACCTCAAGCTCAATTGACTTTGTCGTTAAGTTGCCCAATTCAGCTGCTGACTTCCCGGTCCACTCCTTATATTTCAACACTTCGGCCGATAAATCTTGTACTTGTAATAGTTGACGATCACGATCATCTCTCACTTGTTGTAAATCCAATCTCAGACGTCCAACTTCGCTCGACAAAGCTTCTTTTAGCTTCATCGTCTCGTCACTACTTGCCTAAAAATATCTCTAAAAATGAGAACGCATTTTAGATACGAAACATAAATTCAGAATAATCAAATACTTAAAATACGGACTTTAGTAGCAGTCAGTTGATCCTGCAAAGAACTGCATTGGCCCTTTAAGTTTCCGAGGTTCTCCAACATAGAAACCTTCTCTTTCTCTACGTTCTTGAGGATCTCGTTGGTTTGATTAAGCTCCGATTGAAGCTTACTATTGTATTGTTGTAAGCTCGTGTTGTATTCCTGCAATCTCTTGTACATATCGTTGAGCGATAATATCTGAAAACCAAATAAACGTGAACGAAGATTGTTAGATTTTCTTACACATGTAATATGACGAAAGTGTGAGAATACGTGGAATCCCATAATTGAGTTTATAGGACGCTAGAAGTGTCTAAATGTCTCAATACAGTGCTTTATAGAACGATAAGTTTATAAGACTAATCAATAAGTTTACAGGACGTTTTCGACGTCTCGACAACTTTCTTAAGACATTTTAAAAGTCAGCGTCGTATTAGCTATTTCATAAGACACTCTTTTGGAAAAATGTCTTGTAAAAACAAGTGTCCTATACAAAAGACGTGTTTACTGGACACTTCTAAAAGATGTCCTATAAAATAACTAATACGACGTTTTATTTTTTTCAAAATGTCTTAAAAACTTGCTTAAGACACCCAAAAACGTCCTATAAACTAGGCTATTAGGACACTTAGATATTGTTGGCATCCTATAAACTCAATTTTGTTGTAGTGTCGTTAGATTGCTGTCTAAAAGAGTCATGTACTGAAAATAAATTATTCAGGTCTAGCTGATGTAGGACAGCAACAGCTATCATCTAAATAACCTTTTGATTAGCACTTGAACCCTCTCTTTGAGCTCTTTCGAGTTCTTCCAAGATGGAGGATTGTGATCTCTCTGCGGACAGTCTAGCATCCTTCTCCTTCGATAATGTTTCCATTGCAGTCTGAGATTAATTTCGACTGTTAAACTATAAAATTTGACAAGTACCAAATTGCTTGACGATGTTCAAGATTCAGTCGTACCAATTTATCTGATTCTGCTTTCGCAAACTTCTCTTGTAGAACTGTGTAATTCTTTCGCAACTCCATGATTATCGAATTCAGTTCTTCTTCCTTTTCGGTCATTAGCATTTCTTGAATAACCAACAAAATAGAAAAGGTTTATGTTACAAAAAAAAATCTATATCTACTCAAGGAAATCGGACAAAATGATCATCGTCCAAAAATAAATGTCCGCAATGAAAAAGACATTAAATTTTAAAAAATTATAACTAAACTTGGGATCATGACTGTTTTCGTGAGACCAATTTTTTACACTTGAAACTTCACAGCAAAACACTGTGAAGGTTTCGGAATTTTTTTTACCTTCATGCTAGGGGTGGCAATGAGTAAGGTTTGGGTTCAACCCATTTATTAAACAGATTGAAAATCTCAACCCAACCCAATCCAACCCATTTAATTAAATGGGTTGAGATTTTTCAACCCAACATGTTAAATAAATGGTTTGAACCTGGGTTGACTCATTTAATTTTAAAATTTTAAATAAAAAAAAGACTAGACTATTTAATTTTTTTTTTTTGAATAAAACACAAGACAACCACAATTACAAACAAATTGTTCAAAGTTTGAATAAAACACAACTACAACAAATATATTGTTCAAAATAAATTAGAAAATTTTAAATTCTAAGTAACTTGATTTCCACTTTCACCAACCACAAGTTCACTTTCGGTATAACTTTATTGAAGAGTTGGATTGGACTTTGGAGGCGATAATGGAGTAACGGATTAAAAAGTTTTCTTAGGGTTTCATGATGACTAAGAGTAATGTAGGCGATTGGAATTTGGACTTTCATCTCACGACGGTAGGATTTTTAATTAAAAATAAAACAAAATAAAAAATTAGAATACTAGATATAGTATCAAGTATAAAATAAAATTATATAATATTTTAAATGAGTTGGAAACATGTTGAAAAATTCAACCCAATAAAAACCATTTATTTAAATGGGTTATACGGGTTGACCCACTTATTTAAATGAGTTGAAAATCTCAACCCAACCTGCTAATTCTGGGTTGGGTTAGTTGGTTGGGTCATTTTTTGCCACCCCTACTTCACAATGTTTTACTGTGAAATTTCAAATATAAAAATGTGGTCTCACAAGTCTTACGAAAATAGTTTGGTCTCACGTGAACTCACGCTGTATAACTATTACATTTTTAGAAAAATGTAATCACTACAGTTTTAATGAACTAAATGACAGTTTTACTCCTTAATAATAGAGGGAATAATAAATTTATTCATCTCATAATTATGGGTAAAATTGAATGGGAAAGTATATACTTATTTTTTATGGTAACCGGTTATCCGGGAACTTAAATGTTTAAAAATTTACATGTTATGTACTAAAATGAAAGTTTTGAAACTATGTTACCCAAAATAGGAATCAAATTAAAGTATAATATTTTTTCATACAATTTGCCATATTTTAAAACAAACTAAAATAGAAATGTAGACAGTTTAACTTTAAAGTAGATAAACTCGTATTTATTTTCATAAATATTTTAATTGATGAGTTTATATATGAATTATATATATACTAGTTGTGTACCCGCGCAATGCGGCGGGAGCCATGAATTTTAACGATTTTGAAGTTCCATTGGTTTTATAAGATAAGATTTAACGATGATATAGGTTACACTTGGTCTTTACATATTAATACAATTTGAATAAATAAGAGTTATGGTTTCAATTACAGACTATCGATGAAAAAAATTGTATGACAGTTTAAAATCCAATATATTTAAAATCCAACATATTTAAACAACTCCACAAATGTATTCGATTTACGCCAAGAGCAAAGAACCAAGAAACTTGAGTTTTAAGATAAACACTCAAAACCAATAAAGAAAACTATAAATTTGACAGATCATAAGACATGAAAAGACAAAAAAAAAAGTTGGGTTTTAGAATGAAATTTCAACTGCTTACCATCTTTCTTGTCTAGAAACTCAGATTAAGATTGAATTAATACATGTATATATATATTTCAAAAAAACCCAAAAACATATTAATTCACAGTGCAATTTGGACAGTCTAACCCCAAAATATGTAGTATATATATATATATATATATATAAATAAATAACTATAAAAGTATAAATCGTAAATATTAAAAATATTTTTTCACAGTATATATATAATATATAATAATATAATTAAGTAAAAAACTATTCAATATTGGACTCATTTCGAATGTATTAACGAGACGATTATAATGGTGTAACTTGTTAAAATAAAAATGTATTTTTTAAACATGTTTTAATTGATATACGATTATGTATCTTAATTTGATAAATGTTTAAAATGAAACATTTAAAAGTAAAGGACGTAAAGTAAATTAATTAATTAATTATAGGGGTATAAAGTGTAAATTTAAAATTATAATTTTAAAAAAATCGGTTGTGAGAGGGTGAGTGTATGTGAGAAGAGGAGATGATGAAAAAGTGAAAAAATGAGTATAAAAGGTATTTTGATTATTTAAAATTTTAAAACTTTAAGACTTTTGCTAAATTTGCTTAATAAGATAGTATAGATACATACCCATATCTTTGCATTTCCTTTCTGCTGATTCCAACATCTTCCCAAGATTGTGCTGATCTAATAAAAGATCCCCTTCAAGTTCTTGAAACCATCTAATACACATTCTTAGCCTTTTGATATATTCCATCATTGAGTCACATTTCTCCTAAAAAAACCCACAAAAATTAACCATAACATATATATACAGTTAAATACCCATTCATTTGTACGGTATGTACATATGCATACAAGTCATTTGTAAGTAATCTTTTCGATATGCACATGTGCATAATGTATACACGTGCATAGAAACCAACAAAACACCTTTAATTACTTGTATGTACATGTACATACCATACAGATGAACGGTCATGAAAGTGTTACTCAATTTTTCATATTTTGGGATTTTTCGTTAACCCTTCTCTCTCTCTCTCTCTCTCTCTCTCTCTCTCTCTATATATATATATATATATTGTGAGAGAAATTAAATACTGAAATGCTAACCTTGAGACTAAACTTGTTCTTGGTTCTTATCTTCTCATTCAACAAAGCTTCAACATCTTCTCTCGTAAACTCAATCGCCCCACAATCGGAACCGATGCTGCTAGCTGGTCCAACGACCGGATCTTGACTGCCGTTCACAACCGAAAAAACTTGGCGCGGTATTCTACCGCCGTTGGTCGCGGCCCCAACCATGGTTCAAACACAATGGCCTAATCTTGTAATGTTCTTGAACTGTGATGAAAAATTGCAAGAAATGAGATGATGAATTAGGTGGTGCAAAGAAGGGATATAGAAGTTGTAAGGAAAGGTGGGGTTATAAGAGGTGAGAGGTGGGTCCATGAATTGAAATAAAAGCTACCAAGATTGCAATTAAAATTGATTGCTTATATTTGCAGGGAAGCAGATGATGGAGACAATGGAACTGTGACAGTGATATGGGTGTTACAAAATTCTATTAATTAATTAAGGTTTTGTTAATGGGTGATGTTGATTCTTGTATAAAATTAACTCAGGCGGCCGGTGGAGGGTGGCCGGTGGCTGGTGTCGGTTGTGGACTTCACTGGTTGTCTGCTTCTTCTCCAAATGGAACACCCTCAATGATATATATATATATATATATATATATATATATATATACTTGGGATCATGTGAGACCAAAAAATTTTCGTGAGATCCGTAAGACCAATTTTCAACCATTGGATTAGATCTACAATCTGAACATTCATAATCACAAAAATTGTCACGAGACTTCTCAATAATCACAAAATTGTCACCGTGCAACTTTAGACCATTAGATCATTAGTTTATAATGTTGATCAATGAACATGAATTGGTCTTACGAGTCTCACAGAAAACCTTTGATCTCATGTAAACACAACCTTGTTTCAAATACAACCCGTTGCATTTGTACAACCAATGCAACCTAATAAATTGAGATATTTATAGAAATGATGAGAGTTCATTTATTATGATTTGAATATTTATGGAAAATGAATAGGATTCATTAATTATGATCAATACTTTATATTAGAAAACAATCAAAACTTCTATGAAATTACATATTAATCAAATGAAATGAACGATTGAGATTGGGTTGTATTGGTTGTACAAATGTCAAGGGTTGTATAATAACCAACCTATATATATATATATATATATATATATATTGTGTGAGAGAGAGAATAAGAGAACAAGAAATTCGACCAGCCGAATAATAATTGCCTTTTACATGTGATTTAACCGGTTACTCGAGTACTTAAATGTTTAAAACTTTACGTTTTAAATACCAAAATGAAAGTTTTAAAAATACGTTATCCAAAATAAGAATTAAGTTAAAGCAAATTACTTTTTAATGCAATTTGTCCTTCAAAAAAAAAACACAAGAACCGTTAAAAGCACCTAACCACATGAACAAAACATGTAATCTACTCTATTCGGAAATTTTCACACACTCTCTCTCTTTTACTGTCTTTATTTTAAATACAGTTATAAAAAAATCTTTCTTTATTTATATTACAATTTTAAAAAATCTGTTGAAAAAAAAATCCTAAAATCTTCACCTTTTTTTTGTTCTGAATGTGATGGAGATGCTCTACTTATATGTGTTTGACTTGCTACACAAGCAATGTAGTGCTTACTTTTTTTTATAAAAGAGAAAGGTCCATGCAAACGTAAAGATAAACCAAGCTCACCACCACCTTTTATTTTTATTTTTACCCTGTTCTTTCAAATAAAAATATAAAACATCATATATATATATATATATATATAAGGTTTATGTAATGCAACGAGATACATATCGATATTAATGTTTCGTTTTATTCTTCTTTCTATCAACGTCAAAATGATTTCAAATGTTTTAAGAAAACGATAATGTTTTTATTTTTTTATTAAAATATAATTTTGAAAAAATAATATAATATAGTTTTTGGTTTAAAATAATATAATTTTTTAAGTTTAATAATTAAGCAATTTATTTTTATATAATAATATAATTTTTTATAAAGATAATAAATTAGTATTTTGTTGGAACATAATGATTATCTTAATTATATTTTTGACTTTTTATATTAAGATTAGATGTTTATCATGTATTTAATTATGTTATCTGCAGTTAAATACACGAATTCAAACATAAAACTTTAATAAATTGTAGTTACGTACAATCTCTTTGTAATCTTGAATTTTAAGTAATATGGAATCAACAATGAGTACTTTATGCATAAAAACGATTTTTAAGAGTTTTTGTCAGATGTTTTATAATATAATATAGAATTCGTGTAACTAACTAATTTTAACCATTTTTAATACATAAGTACAACTTCTTAAAGCTCTGTACTTAAATTCATGTAACTTATTATAAATAAACATAATCAAATATTGAATAAACATTTTATTTTAAATATAAAAAATCTAAAATATAATTAGAATAATCATTATATTCTAATAAAATACTTGATTATTAACTTTATAAAAAAAATTATATTATTAAATCAAAATTAAATTACTTCATTGTTAAATCTAAATTAAATTATAATAAAAAAATTGAATTAAAGAAATTATACAACAAAAAAAACTTTTAAATAGTTAATTTGATATTATCGATATATTTTTTTAAAAACTTAAGGTATTTTCAAATTTATATTTTATTCAAAAATAGAAACATTATTGTTTTTTTTTTCCAAAACCATATAAAACTGTCGACAGAGGACAGAATAAAACGAAATATTGAAATCGAGATGTATCTCACTATATTGTGCGAATACCCTTATAATGTGTGTGTGTGTGTGTATATATATATATACACACACGTGTGTGTGGTTGAGTTTACAAGAGACCAACTTGTCTTTATAAGACCCTTGAGACTATTGTTTTATACTTGAAATCTTGTGAAAGTAAAAAAAAAAAGCTGAAACTTCACAGTTCACAGCAAAAACACTATAAAAGTTACCTTCATAACATTTTGTTATAAAGTTTCAAGTGTAAAAAAGTTGTCTTACGGATCTCACGAAAACAGGTTAGTCTCACGTGATCCCAAATCTATATATATATATATGTGTGTGTGTGTTAATGACAAGTAGCCATCGTTATGGCTAGATACATGAGCTACTAAATATATACAGAAAATAGTTTTATAAATGAACTTGTTAGGCCATTTACTAAAATTGTAATGTTATAAATATATTCACAACTAACAAAATAGATTTGTCGACTTACTTTTGGATTTGATTTAGACATTATCTATTTCATCTTCAACCATTAAAAAAAAAAAACACACACACACATACATATATATATATATATATATAGAGAGAGAGAGAGAGGAGGTTTACTTACAAATTACGTTATTTGTACAAACCGTATAAACCTCATTTAACTAATCATATTTTTTCTTTTTTTTTTGTAATTATGAGAAGTTGATTAATTATTTCTATTATGAGGTTGTTAATCATGGATATTATCATTTTCATTATATTAATTTTCGATAAATACATAAAACATTTTCATTAAAATTTCATAAGTAGTATATGAAAAAATTTCATAATCATATATGAAACAACTTCATCAAAAAAAACTATTATATGAAACAATCTGAAAAAAATTATAAGATTAAACAATAAAATCGATGGATAAATATAGAATTATGAGGATAACAGTTATGGTGATAATAACGGCTGACTTTTTGACCTAATTTCATTATTATTCAACTATTTTTATCTTTGTCTTTAGTTATATTCATAAACTTTTACATACATCTAATCACTTTTACATGCATCAATTTGTTAAAGTTTCAGTCATGATGATAAAAATATGTAAAAAAATGTAACTTAAAATATATTTAAATTATAAAATTAGGAAAAGAATAAATAAAAATTGGTTTGTGTTTTCAAATCAATAATAAATATTGGTTAAATCATAAATAGTGTAAATAAATATTGAACAAACGAACTTGATTGAAATATTAATCAGATGGTGAAGGTGCATCCGACACCAATTTAATTCACACATATGTAAAATAAGCAATGACCCATTCAATTTCTCTTTTTTATTTTTATTTTTATTTTTTAAATATTTAATATATACTTTGTTATAAAAATTGATAAAATAATTGTCAAAACTTATGGGTTATTTAGTTGGTTTTTTATTAAGGGATTCTCCGGTTGCGGTTTAATGGGCTGTATAAGCTATATGGCTTATTCGTACAGTCATGTCTAACTGATCCGGGCAACCCATGGTTGAATCGCCCAGCTATAAAAGTAGAGTCATATACACTCAGCTGACCCTTTTCTCTCGATACCTTTGGGGAAAAAAGACATTTCCCTTCACCCTGAATTCATACGTCCATCCTCCTCCATGGATCTGTCGATCTCTCCTCCTACAGCCCTCACTGTCGTCCTCCTGCCCTTGTCACCATTTTCTCCTGTTGTACTTATCGTCATCTCTCTTCTACTACCCTCGATCTATTGTAGGTCAGTTTTCATTCAGAATCTTCAAATATATATGGTGTTGAAACGGTAAAATCAAAGAGAAAAAACCTTGTTGCCCTCGATAGATCCATCCCTGAAACACCCTCTTAAATTGGCCCTCTTTATCTCTATAATCGATCTTGTCCTCCTTGAAATCGATCTTCTCCCTGCTTTTTTCACTCTCTCGATTTCTTGCTTGTAGTGAGTTTGGTGTTGCTGCTATGAGTAATTTCATCCATCTTCCTGAAAATCGATTTGATCCCCTCTTTGGTTGGCAGAAACAATCACAAAGAAAATCCATTGTCGACTATTTTCTTTCTTCATTTCATGTTCTTGGATTTAGTATTTCTTCCATTTTCTTCTTCATTTTCGCACTCTTTATGTGGTTTTTGGTAGGGGTGGCAATGAGTCAAGTTGGTTTCGGGTTCAAGTTCAACCCATTTATTAAACAGGTTGTAAGCGAGTTAAAAACAGGTCGAAAAATTCAACCCAACCCATTTATTTAAATGGGTTAGACGGGTTGACCCATTTATTTAAATGGGTTGAAAATCTCATCTCAACCTGCTAACTCTGGGTTGGGTTGGTTTGGGGTTGAGACGTTGAATTAGCGGGTTGGATCATTTTTTTACCACCCCTAGTTTTTGGAACAATCGAATTAGGCTTTAGAAATTTCTTTCTTCAATTCATGCTCTTTATCCGGTTGAATTATGTTCTTAAATGGAAGGCAATAGTTATAAGGCAATAACATGTGTTTATTGGAAGAAAAAAAAAAGTAGGGATAAATTGGTCATTTTTTATATTCAGACGGCTTATTTAGCAAGACAACCGAGCAATAACTTACGTATTATTATACAGACAACTTTATCCATACAAGTCTTTATTTATACAGTCTTGTATATATAAATTAAGTTGTCTGTAATGTATAGATTAATTTGTCTATATAAACTGAGAATTGTTTTTTTTAGAGTTTTTCATAGAAAAGCAATGTTTTTTAATTTGATGAGGTGGGTTTGGAGCAGAAAAACATAGTTTTTTTACATAAAGTTTATTCTCTAAAAACTTATTAAATAAACGCTTTTTAAAAAATACATTGTTTTTTTTTTTAAACAGGCTGATCATAGACCGGTCCTTGTTTTTGGATGAAAACCGAAACTGACGGTTCCAATCGATCCCGGGACAGGGCGGTCCTAAGTCGGTTCCGGTCTATTCTACGAACCAAACGCCACTTAAATGTCAAAAATCATAGTTAAAAGAAATTACAATTGAAAGCAGAAAACAAAATGGAGATGCGGGGTATCGATCCCCGTACCTCTCGCATGCTAAGCGAGCGCTCTACCATCTGAGCTACATCCCCATGTTGCTACACTCTTTAAAAACATACAATTTATCATTAAATTGTTGAATAAATATAATTCTTTACAAAAAGATTCTTTATAATTAAATATTTAATGACAAAAAATATTTATTTAATTTCAACGTAATTTGTTTTTCATACAAACATAATAATGCATATCAACAATGATAACCGATGAAATCCAACATTGGTTCCATCCATTTGATACTTTTATTGGATATCCATCGATGGGATTGGATCCATACAGTATCTTAATTCAATTCAATTCTCTAATAATGATACAAATTAATTATCATTTTTAATATGTGCTAAAATCAACACAAGAGAAGTTAGAAATTCAAAGCCTCGTATAAAACAAATTCCGATTTAAACAATTTAAAAATAAATTAATTGGATGATAATTGGATAATGGTTGGATGGACAACTGGATGGTCATCGGATGTTGATCGGTTCGGTTTTAGTCAGGTTTAGACTCTTTCTCTCTCTCTCTCTCTCTCTCTCTCTCTCTATATATATATATATATATATAGGCACGTTCAAATGAAAACCGTGCATTTCTAAGAAACCGAGTAAACCAATTTCGACCAATAGAAAAATTCTATTTTTTTCTAATTAAAATTAACCAATAAGGGTATTTTAGTCATTTACAATATTTTCTATTAAATATGGAAGTTATTAATAAATCTTAATTAATGAAACATAATAAAAAAAATTATATAAATGGTAACATTTAAATATTTAATTATATTATAATATTAAAAATTTGAATTTCATATATTGTAATCTTTAAGAATTAGCAAACGGGTCTTGATGAAACAATTGAAGTATATAATGAAATCATCAAATCGTAGATGAAAATAAAGAATCCAAAAATGAAACAGTTTCATGAACGTGAAACTGGTTTATGTTGCAAATAAATTATGTGAACGAAACATTTTCATGGTGAACTCGTTGCATTGATTGTGTAGTTGATCCATTTAGTTGGTGAAGAGGAAAATGAAATCGGTGCATTTTGTATTTGATGCGTCATGAACTAAGTGCATGATGAAACGAGGAAATGATTTTAATCTGCTACAAAATCTTGAAGATTGTAACTTGCTCCAAAATCTTGAAGATTGTAAGGCTTAAAGGAATGAATCCATCAAATCAGTGGTGAAATAAGAAAATTACTGTACATGAAATAGGTTTCATGAAAGTGAAACTGATTCATGAAATTGAATGATGAAACGGGTACATGAAGAAACTGCTCCAGAATCTCGAAGATTGTAATATGCTTTAGAATCTTTAAGATTGCAAGGCTTAAAGAAATTAATGCATCAAACCATGAACGAAAGGAATAAAATAATTTTGCATGAAAAAGGATTCATGAAAGTAAATTAATCTTTGAAGAAAATAATTTTGCAAGAAAAAAGATTCATGAAAGATCGAGTAGGATGTTACCAAATATTAAATTTTGTTTCCCATTTATGCCCTTACTGTTGAAATAAAATAAAAAATTTTAATATATATTTTTATTTAATTTCCTAAAATAAAGTAAACTAATTTTGACCATTGATCAAGAAAATAGATGGATGAGATTGGTTTACACAGTTTACACAAATGAGACCGGTTTTTATTTGAACGCTCCT